CCCTCTCTCTCTCTCTCTCTCTCTCTCTCTCTCTCTCTCTCTCTCTCTCTCTCTCTCTCTCTCTCTCCTAGCAACCACTGTTCTTCTTTACCCACCAGCATGGCGCTGCTCTCCATTATGGGATGGTGAGTATCCACAATAGCCAGAAGCGCCCATGTTAAGTAAGCCAGAACCACTGGGCACACCCTGTAGGACTTAGCAAGTTGTGACCGCCTTAAAAGCACCAACACAGAGAGTGGAGACTCAAGCAGAGGTCCTTCGGGACATCTGTTAAAATTGGAATGATATAGAGAACAATAGCATGGCCCTGTGCAAGGAAAAAAAAAGGGAAAAAAAGGGAGACAATGAGAACAGACCATACATGCGGCGCATCATGTGCACGCAAGTTGCTCACGTGCGCCGCATAGCGCTTGTCCGCGCACGTGATGCAGCGCATTTACAAAAAAAAAAATAAAAAAAAATTAAGGATAGGCCGTGGTAACCAAAAGTGCCCCTCCCTTTGAAAATTGTAAGTCCACAGACACAAAATATTTTGGGGCCACTTCGTACTACTCGTTGGATCTACTCTCTTTTCCAAAAGGTCCCCTGCGAAGAATCAGCAGGGTTCCCAAACTTTTGGAAGGATGTTCATTGAACTGCTGGGAGACCACGAGCAGGCCAGCAATATTTCCTGGATTCGGATTCCGGTCTGTGTTCCAAGAGTTATGGGTTATGAGAGTACTACAAACACTACAGTAGCTGTCTCGTTTTTTTGTTTTTCCTTTTCTTACGTGCAGTGGCCCTAGGGGAAGGATGTCCATTGAACTGCTGGGAGACCACGAGCAGGCCAGCAGTATATCCTGGATTCGGATTCCGGTCTGTGTTCCAAGAGTTATGGGTTACGAAAGTACTACAAACACTACAGTAGCTGTCTCGTTTTTTTGTTTTTCCTTTTTGGCTCCACTCATCACAAAAGAAAAACATGTGGTTTGTATGGTTCCAGTTTGTAGGGGAAGATTCATTCTAGTTTTGCACATTTGGTGAGTAGTGGAGTGAGGCCCTGAAAATCACATGCCGAGTTAGTAAGTCATTAACCCATAACTGCTGAAACACGGACCTGAATTTAAAGCTACACCATATATAGCTGCCCTGCTCCCTCCTTACTACAAGTCCAGTGACCACCGCTCTCCTGCCGACGGGACCCTTGCCAATTTTTGGCAGGGATCTTTTGAAGTACCGGCAGGGGTTGTCTGAATAATTTGAAAGGGTTCTTTGCTCTCTCTCTCTCTCTCTCTCTCTCTCTCTCTCTCTCTCTCTCTCT